CTTGCAGGTTCACTACCTGGTCCCTGAAGGGAGTGGTAGGAACCTTGGACACATAGCCGGGCCGGGGTCTCAGTGTTGCACTGGAATCAGCCTGCCCAAACTCAAGTCCCGATTCGTTGACCGAAAATGCCTGCAGGTCCCCCACCCTCTTGATCGAGGCCAATGCAGTCAGGAGTAGGGTTCTTCAACCCCAGGAAACTTCAACTCGACTGACTGCAAAGGCTCGAAGGGGGCATCTTGTAGGGCTCTTAGCACCAATGCCAAATCCCAAGTGGGTAGGGAGGGAGGCCTAGGAGGATTTAACCTCCTGGCCCCCCTAAGAAACCTGACGACCAAATCGTGCTTACTCCTGGTGGGAGGAACACCATTCGACGAACCGGTTCCACTTCAGCGCATAGGCCCGTCTCGTGGACGGAGCACATGCTGAAGCGATAGTGAGAGCTACCTCCTGGGGTAGGTCACTTAGAACCTCCGCATCCCGTCCAGGGAACACACATAAGAGTTTCCACAGGTCTGGACGCGGGTGCCAGAGGGTGCCCCGTCTCTGAGAAAGCAGATCCTTACTCAGAGGAATCGGCCAGGGAGGGGCTGTCACGAGGAGCATGAGTTCCGGGAACCAGGTCCTGTTGGGCCAATATGGAGCCACTAACAAGACCTGCTCCTCGTCCTCCCTGATCTTGCACAGTGTCTGTGCGAGCAGGCTCACTTGGGGGAACGCATATTTGTGCAGGCCCCGGGGCCAGCTGTGTGCCAGTGCGTCCGTGCAGAGTGTTGCCTCGCTTAGGGAGTAGAACCCCTGGCAATGGGTGGTTTCTGGAGATGCAAACAGGTCTACCTGAGCAACTCCGAACCGTCTCCAGATCAGCTGAACCACCTGGGGGTGGAGTCTCCACTCACCTGGAAGTGCTGCTCGAGACAGCTCGTCGGCTGCCCTACTGAACACTCCCAGGATGTGGATGGCACGAAGGGACTCAGGGGCAACCCAGGGCTTTGGGGTACCCCAAAGCGGCCCCACCATCGAGGGTGGTGAGAGCGGAGGAGCTACAAGACTTCGGGCAGTAAAAGGTGCCTTCCACGATCTTGTGAGCTCCTCATGCACCTCCGGGAAGAATAGCACCGGAGGGGGGCGCTGAGAACCAGCGCGACCCCCACTGAGAAACCATGCAGGACGAACACTGGATCGCGGCAGAGGCAGAGGGACCCCGCCACGTTTGACGTAACAGAGTCTTTCATGCAACTCCGAGATGGTCATGTCCCTACAAGTAGAACATGCACCATCCACGAACGCTTGCTCAGCGTGCTCAACACCCAGACACATGAGACAGCGATCGTTACCGTCCCGAGGCGCCAGAAAGCGACCGCACCCAGAAACGCACGGGTGATAAGACATCTTTAAAAAGACGCGATCACCCGTGTTGCTCTTTTAAAGATGGCTCTAATAGTGCTGAATCACGCAGGGGAACTGGCCACCACACACTCCAAGTGTGGCTGTCTGCACGAAAGATGATCTTTTTCTTTCTCTCCGTGAGACCGCAACCACCGCTGCAAAGCTGTAATGCCCGCACTCGCTCTTGCAATCACTCGAAGAGGAGAGCAGTAGTGATGCACCACCGCTCGGCTCTGAAGCGAAAAGATGAATTAATGAGGTGCACCTGCTGTCTCTTATACCCGCGGTGTGGGGTGCGGCAGCCAGATGCAAAATCCGCATGCCAATGTTCATTGGCTCATTTAGTTACACTCAAAGTGGATTGGTCTCTCTGGCGAGATCCCAATTTGTCGGTCATCACCGACGTGAAATCGAGAGTGACCGACTGAAAGGGAACTGGATTTGCCACCATCAGGTCTTGGGGATCTGACAACACCAACTCCAAAACCTGACATTAAAAGAATTCAAGAGTGTTAAATTATAAAGATCTTTGGTGTTTTAGCAATTCTCAGTTGTAACTTTCTATTCACTTAACATTTTCAAAATTACAGATTTTGCATTTTATACAAAATGACAACAAGTTGACTTTTTGATTCCTCTTGGGGGGAAATCAGTTTTATATAGAGCATTTCTTCTAATAATGAACTAGCAAATATTTTTCATTTAATGTATTTCTAAATAATGCACAACCCCAAGGAGCAGGAGCCACATCAACTGGTCATAAGTCAACACACAATCATTCAGCAAGAAATAAATAGCTTCTTTTATGCCTCCCTGCTTTAACTTTCTCCACTATTTTTTCATGATTAGCCTGCAGTTTAGTCCAAATAACTCTAATATAAACCATTAAGACCATAGTTAAAATCCTTTCTGGTTAAACCATTTTCTGGTATAATACAATCAGTTAAATTTATGTCTGAGGTGCAACACATATCCTACACGACATAAAACTTGTATAAAGTGAGTGAGATCCTGGTTAGTTTGTCTGTGAGTGTGTGTGAATCATAACTTGTGAGTACATGGCTGACTTATGCATAACAGACCTGCTGTAGAATCCCTGCAAAACATGTACAATTTTTTTTGTACATATATAAAGTATTAATATAATTTATTGTTTAATAATTTCAGAAAATATATTTAGTCAAATGCATATGTTTATCATTATATTTTTGTTTAATAAATGCATGTATACATTCACTAACTTTTTATGTCAATCTGAGTGAAGGTGAGTTTAAGCTTGTAGCTTCAATTTGTGCTTCAAAGAAGCGTCCTTAAAACTGGACCCCTTCACTGCTGATTTGTTCTTTCACATCTGCTTTGATTTCTAGAGAGTCTGCTTAATATAAACATCTACCCTGTATACCTCCATCAGCGGGTAACCCAATGCAAATATTGTACTGCCATTCCTTATTGAGCAGCCAATTCATTATGAACATTCCATCTCTGTATCTCAGAGAAGCTCACAGCTGCACTTTTTAAAGGAACATCGATGGAAAATATAAAGTAATTCAAATCTATATACAAAAATCTAAAATTTTTCTTGTTTCATACAGGAAGACACAACTGCATGTTCTTGCTACATTTAGAGATGTACCTACATTTTTTGCAAATATCCCGTAGTTTTCCCATTTATCGTATTGTCTGTGATTAAAGTTGCTGTCTGCTGGAATGAATCTTCATTTGTCTTGTTCCGTTTATCTTGTTGTTCCTCCATAGCTAACAATCAGATCGCAGTTAACTTTTTAAAACTTTTTTTAACTTGTTTTGTTCTAGATTACTAGCATATGTTTGTATTATTTTCATTTATAAGTCACTTTGGATAAGTGTCTGCTATTAACAGGCTAAAAAAAAAATCACATAAAATATATCTGGTATAAATCTGATAAGTTCCTCATTGTTTGCATCTTGCTCAACTACAACAGCTGCACATCTATTCCAGGAATGGCCAATTTTGGTCCTAAAGGACCACTGTCCTGCAGAGTTTATGCTGCCTTCAAGTGCACCTGGGAAACTTGTACTCTGAGTTGGGCATTCATCATTACGACATTGTTACGACAAGTGGGAAACATAACATGGAACTCAGATTGTATTACTATTGTATTACAACTGGACTGTAAAATGTAAATGAGAAATGAATATTTCATAATAAGTACATTAATGATTATTTTACTTTACTGTAGTAAAAAAAAGTGTATTAAACCACCAAGCTTTTATTTTAGCAGAAAAGTGCAGAGAGACCTTTAATGTTCCGTGACAATGGGTTTACAAAAGTGTGTCTTATTACAAAACTAATTAAATGCTGTAATCCTCTGTTAATATATATATGAATTATGTGAAAAAACAAAGGCTTTCACATGTTGTGTTCCCAAATATGTGTCAACCTCACAGCACATACAGAGACTGAATTATGTGCATTCACTCTAAACTGAGCCGGTCTGAGATGCTGAACACCACATCATAGGAAATAATGGGAAAGACTTTATTATATTGTTTATATTATATATCAGTATTTCTGACATGTTTCAAAGCCCCTTACAACGTCACTACTCTTGTATCATCTATTCTGAGTTTCCTGCTTGGAAATATGACTCATACAGTCATTCATTGTTTGGAACTCATAATTACAATATTTCTAAGTCTACTTGAAGGGCACATTATATCCATCACTAATCAAACAAACCTGCCTGCAATCTTTAAATAATCCTGAAGACTCTACAGGACATTAAGACTCTACAGGACATTGGCCCTCTAGGACTGGAATTGCCCATAATTTTGCGTGCACTGTTTTTGTACACATAAAATAGAAAAAGAAGAGAAAACAAAGAATGTAAGCCAAAATGCACACATTTGATAGCATTTATGAGACAAAGGGCTGCAGTTGTATCTGAAGCTGTTCATATCAGCCTGCGAACATATGTAGTATCACCTTGCCAGAAAAAACAACCAAACTAGGTCTGCGGTAAATTGTGTTCCACAATATTGGACTGGAACATATCAGGTATTGCCACTACACCGGACTGAAACATTTTATCTTGCATGCCCAAACATACAGTGCATCAGCCAGAGTGGTGTTTACTTATCCTGGATGCTGCTGTGCACAGGATATGACCATCAAACAGTCACTTCAGTCTCTCTTGCCTGAACATGACCATTAGAGCAGGGAGAAGCTGGAGTGTAATATCTCGGCCGTTGTCTCATGTACTGCGTATGTCTTTGTGTGTGCACTTAAGGACTGAGGAGGATACTGAATATAGATATGGAGTGGATGTGGCTTCCTGTATTGTCATGCTGCTTCATGTCATGCCTCATTACACTGACACTACAGCAGTGGCAAAGGTATCAGCAGTGTGTTCTAAAACACACACACGCCCTTGAAAGTTTTCCACTTTCTGTCATAAAGAACATACACAATGGGTCTCCTTACCTAACCATGTGTACGTATTTGCACTCTAATATTTTCATGCCAAAATAATGATTTATAAATAAGTATATACTGAAATGTATTCTAAGTTTAGAACAGAATCTAGAGCCACATATGTGCAAGACACCCGGTGGCCTTGGAAACATGGGTTTGTTATGTAAATATTCTATGAATTTAAACAACTAAATTACTCTACAGTAAGTCATACTCAGAGCAACAAAAGGCATGTGCATTATAGCTTGGTTTAGAATAGATTCTGCATAAAAATTCATTAGTGTTTATTGTGTTTCAATTGCTTTTTAAATGAATGTACAGGAAAAGTACACTGTACACAGGAAAAGTGCCGTTCAAATGTTTGGGGTTGGTAAGATTTTATGCTTTTGCAATCAGTTTAATGCATCCTTTCTGAGTAAAAGTATTTTTTTTTCTTCTAAAAACTCTTACTGACAGGTATGCACTTCCTCACGCAGAATAAGCCAGATTAACATTAGAGTGAGGGTAAGAATAAAATTAATGTGTACACACCTGTTTTGTCAGAAAATCAGCTTTGGCCTCTTTTTTGAAAGTGAAAGTGACGTGACATGTGGCCAAGTATGGTGACCCATACTCTGAATTAGTGCTCTGCATTTATCCCATCCAAAGTGCACACACACACCGTGAACACACACCCGGAGCAGTGGGCAGCCATTTTTTTGCTGCGGCGCCCGGGGGAGCGGTTGGGGGTGCGGTGGCACCTCAGTCGTGGTATTGAAGGTGGGAGAGAGCGCTGTACATTCACTCCCCCCACCTACAATCCCTGCCGGTACGAGACTCGAACCCGCAACCTTTGGGTTACGAGTCCGACTCTCTAACCATTAGGCCACGACTTCCCCACATTTTGGGGGAATTTTTGTACATGTAAACAAGTAATAAAATGATTAGTGAATGAAACTAACTGTCTTTAGTTATTTCAACCCTCTACATTGCGAGTAAATCACTCGCATATGCGACTAAATCTTCACTCTGGGCGACTAAATGATGTCTAATATTTGCCAATGGCTAATAAATTCTCAGATTTTACTCGCCAGTGTGTGAGTTGGAGACTGAGTATAAGTTTAGTAGTGATGTTACGTTCTGTGCCCAGGCTTCGGAGCGTGTGTCGAGAAATCCCGGCAGCTTTCAGTGAAGCGCG